ACGTTGCACAACTGTGCTAAAGGGTCCATGTTAAATCAGAAGTTATATTTTTATGGAATTTGTATGTGTATGATTTTGTAGGATCCCGCTTATCGGTGCTAAATTTTTCTTCTGCTGAAATGTTGTGGTATAATTTTTCAACTTTAACCCAATTTAGGTATTTTTGCAGATACATAGATATGTATACTCATCAGCTTCATATAAAAGCGACGAACTATGAGTGACATTTTTTATGATTTTATGGGACGACGTTTGATGTTATGGCCTACAATGCAAAAAACTGCAAACATAAAGTACACGTACCATATTCGCTCACAGTGGTTTTTGGGTCGCTTGCAAAACTGTTTTAGTTAGCAAATTTGGTTTAGCAAGTGGCTAATTAATACGTATTTATAATATTATAATTGAAAGTAATTTAAGACAAAATATTCCTTTATGAAGGGTAGAGACTCGGGGCAGAAGTTGAATTAATCATTGAGTTAATTGGAATAATGTCCTTCCTATGACGCTACGCCGTTTTCGGATGTAATCCAAAATATTTTGGTCTTAATTCGACAACTTGATTGATTTCTATTGTAATTTGAGAATTCCGCATTTTATTTCATTTCCTTTTCAACAGGAATTGTTGTATTTGTTCCAAACAAAAATTATACATTTCTTAGCATTTGAACGAATGAATTAATAAATGCTTCGCATTACATCTGTAGTACCAAGCGATAAATTCCTTCTACACACGAACACACATAAATATAACAGATACAAATTTATGAACCCATAAAAGAAAACAGGAGTGAAACCGCTGTGTTTCTCTGCACATCCGTTGCTGGCTACCGAAATTTCATGTTTGCCTACCTAGAAATGGGGACATGCCAAGCATCAAATTCATGCATCGCCATGTGCACGAACAATTACATTGATGACATCGTTTTCAACCCCCCACCCACACTCTGTAACACCAGCCAATTTATTCATCAGATTAAACAGAAGGACCGACCAATTCACATCCACCACATTGACGGCAATCAGTTGTCGCTTTATAAACTATGCATGCAACTAATGCGTTTAGTTTGTTTTTGGTTTATTTGCCACATTTAAATGATTGTTAATTGTTAAAGATCAAAAAACTCCAAATGTTTTCCCCAACAACAATATCTAGCGGAATATTTCCAATGAATTTTGTAGATTATTTACATAAATTCCCATTGCCATTGACAGTGTGTATTTGATAACGGACTCCTCGTTCAGTATCGAATAAAATACAATAGTATTTCTCATTCTATGAGTTTTCATTTCAATGTGAAACGCTCTGCAATTAATTGGATTCCCTTCTTACCACAAAAATGTTTGTGGGCTATTTCATGCTCCACTGTCCCATCTAATCAAACGTTATGATATTTTAATTTCTTAGAATATTTTCAAACATTCTTTAATGTAATTTAAATTAGGTAACTCAATGAGTGGCTGCTTTTAAGCGTGTGGCGTGTTTTATTTATGTTTTCCTATTTCTTTTGTTTCGGTTGGGGAGGGCAAACAATGTAGACACAAAAGGCCAATGACAATGACGGCAATCAAGCCAAAGATGTCTCAATAAAACGACTAAATTCAATCAAAATAAAAGAAGAAACAAACACCATAACATTTCGTGGAAATAAAAAGACTTGAACGTCGAAGGGTAACCTAAATTTATCTTTTTTTTTAAGTCACGATGAAAGAAAATAGTGAGTCTACAAGTTCCACAAAATAATTTTAACAAACATTTCTTGTGACATATAAAAGTGAATTTCGCGGAACGGCCCAGAAGGAAATGTATAATTAACTTTGTACCAATTAACAGACATATTTTTTAAATATTAAATGACTAAACCAAAAATTCTTACGAAAATGTAACCAATGTATATTTAATGCGTTACATCAAGCGGTTTTTTTACCTCTCACATCTAAAATTCTAACTAAATTTGATTCATGAGTTGCGAATCCTTTGTAATCAAAAGCTATCGAAATCTATTTACAAAGACAAGGATTTAAATATTCAAGAAGTAGCTTATGGTTCTTCAATAACTCAGCTCATTAGAACTTTTTTCTATTGATATCCTCATTTTCTCGAACTGTAAATGCAAGCTATTTGTAGAAATATCTACGTTGCAAAGTGCAATTTAATAATTAAATAAATTAAGGGACATAAACATTTTGCGCTATATTGGTATTACTTAAATAAATTGATTTTCTACGGTTATTTATTCCAAAAATCAACCATGTAATTGAGAATGTCAGATGTCAAGCAAACGTGGATTTGAATTTGGCAAAGAAAACAAATCACACAAAAAAGCTTTCTGATACCCTCATAATAGAATTCTGTTGTATTATGTAATGATGTACACAAGAGGTCCAGAAGATTCATGTAACAGTCAAACACTGACACTTTCATCGCTCAAGTCAATGATGATGGTAATGTGTTTAGAGCATTAGTTTTCAAACAAAACAAGTGATTGATGATCGAGTGTTATTCAACATAGGTATCACCAAAAAATTATAAACCTACGTCATGCCAGCACCGCAATTAGACAAATTTCACAACAAAACCAGAAACCAATTAAATTTAAACATGTTTCCAAGAGCGGAGAAAAATCTCAGTTCCAGCATCAACCGAACCAAACCTTTTCACGAGAAACATAAACCATTAATCGAAACATGCGTACAGCAAGAGATAAGTTGAAATTTGCCTACAACCAAGCAATAAATTAGTTATGCTGGCATTCCTACAACAATCAACGAGAAGATACCATCATACGAGATAGACTTGATGATGGGATAACAGCCAATAGTACAAGTAATACATCAAACAATCATTTACGGAGCGATTTAAGCCAAACGACAGCAGCAAATAAAACGAAAACATTTACAACGACAACGGTAACAAATTTCATTAAGCCAAGTCAAAGTAAGCACAAGAGCGGAAAAATGACGACACAACGAATAGCGTTTCTTTTCGATTACTTCTTGTTTGGTCAATCAGGGGTGTATGTAAGTGTCGATTGAATACTTAAAGCGTCTTAACTAGGGCGTCCCTTCGTCCGCCTGCCTGTCTGTCTGTCTGCCAGTCGCGTTGCTTACTAAATAAGTATTAGCATCCGCTTATACCTTCGACTGTCCGTCCGTCCATTTGTCTATGTCTAATTAATAAGGTTCGAGGTGGTGCATTTATGGAAATTAAACATACAAAAAAAAAAAAAAATAATATTTATTTAATTATTACAAGTCATAAATTATCTATGCACACAAATTCCAAATACGTTTGACAGTCATGAGGAGTGGTGTGGCTGGGGCCATACGTGGGGCATAATAAACACAAAATATACAACTCATTGAAAAGAGATACAATTTAATAATTTTTCATAAAAATCATTTGTTAATGTAAACAATGACAACCATGTCTCAAGTGTCTACAAATTTCCTTTATTCTAATTGTACTTCATGGTTTTCTTGGCTTCATCCTCGTTAGAAATTGTATTTCTTTAAGTATGGCATAATTTCTTGTTGGTCTGCGGCATTAAAAATTTTAATGCATTTTAAGTAGTGGGGGTTAGGTATTTTTTAAAAATCTAAATTATTGTAGATATTTTTTTCAACATTCTATATTATTAAAGCAATGAACGTGCGTGTGTGTGGTCTGGATGATGTAGGGGAATGTAATTTGTATAGATGGTAAATATATTCATAATAAATTGTTTCAAATATCGACATGACAGGTCTAGAATTGTTGTTATGGCCGCTTTTTTGGAGTTATTGACTATTAAGTTTTTGAGTGAGTTCTTTGCCACTCCCTTTCAACTATTTTGTATGACAAATAAAGATGTAGAGTTCTACGAGTTCATGTACCTATTTCTTATATCTCGAGTTATATACTCCAATAAAATAAATAAATTAAAAAAAGATTTTGCCATCACTTAAAATGGTTGAAATCGAATTATATTTTCGAATCATTAATTTTCAGATCATTAAGCTCATCTCGAAAGAGAAAACAAACACATGAATTATATTTTTGTTCTCCTACAAGCAATAGTCAATGCTCTAATTTCTACTTTCTTGCTAAATTATGTCTTCAGCAGACTATATAGAGACAACATTGGACAAAATTTTAGATCTGGCTCAAGTCACCCGCATTATTGTGTGGTGATCTCCGCCAAAGATTTAAGGTGCATGTTCTGAATGTCGATCGGACCATTATTATAGTTTCGAGTTTCATTACAAATTATAATCGACGGATATACAAACATTGCCAGATCAACTCCGTTCTTGGACAAAAGAAACTTGGAAGACAAAAGAAACTCGAAGAAACTTCGAAGTCAACTCGTCGAGAAGTTTTGGCTTCCCAAAAAAACATCGATATAACTGAAATAACTTGCAAAGATCTTTAATCGAACATAAATTAATAATTTATATTTTGATAATGTTTTCAATATTCCCAATCCCTTGCCGATACTGTAATACATTATGTTCCTGTTCTTTCCCTTCCTATTCCATTTTAGCATGAATATGTGAAAATATTCCAATTGTAGTTCACAATAGCATTTTCAGAGAATTGTTGGAAAATCGACATTAAAATATTGACCAAGGCACACAACTCAGCAGCAATAGCAACAAAAATATACACAAAGTTAATTTGACATGTATTTACTCTCATAACAACAAACAGACAATACAACACACACATGCATGCAACAACTTCACAGCATCCCAAAAGGGGTAAAGGAAACCAATACGAAAGAGCTTCAAAAAAATTCCTGGAAATGGTCTGTTTTTTTAGACAAAATGTAACAAAACAATATGTACAAAGAAATAAAATCAACCAAACAAAAACTACAAAAGAGTTAAAGCAAATACAGAGAGGCACACAAATATATTTTTATGTTGTTAATCTGCCAATTCTGAGGAAAACCAACATTTTTTTATCTGGGCAATACTGCCAACAAAAACATGTGTCTGATTAGTGAGTGACTTACCTAGCAGACGCATTACTTCCTGCGGATTTAGATACAAATTTAAATGGCCCCAGCAGCCACTGATTGTGGACAACAGGAACACCAAAACCAGTGGTGACATCTTCCAAACTGTTTTTGGAATGGGTTGTGCCGATGAATGTAAACACGCCATTTTCAGTCGTCTTCTCCTCACTATTTTACGGAATTTAGTTTTTGTTTGTTTATATTTTGGCACTTGTTTATATAATTATTATTTTTAAATCAATATTGCAGGCACAAGATTCAATAATTTGTGTTTATAAACATTAAAATAAGCATTTGTTTTTTTTTTGTTTCGCTTTTTCACTTTTCCTTCTCTTTATTTACGTTGCTCTCTCAAACTCTCTTCTTCCGTTTAGATTTCTCAAATTTGCTCTTTTTGTTTTGCTTTCCTTTAGTATTCTTCTTCTTATTTTTTGTTCGCTTTTGTTAGTTGCTTCTCGACCATACTTCTTTATGTATACAAACTAAATTCGTCCGAAAATATAAACAAAAGTTTTAAAAAAATATATTGAATGGCATTTGCAAAACATCACGATTGTAGAGTTTATAAATTGTAATAATATTAAATTTATGAAGGCAAACAATAAATAGATAGACACGATATGTTCAACGGGAAATTGTTAGTTGTATTGTGAACAAGCGCACTGTCACACACCCTTCACTCTTGAATTATAGCTGTCAACTAAAACTGACAAATTCGTTTAGCTATTCTGACAGTCCAGTCGATGAAGTGATGCCAAGTTTTAGAGATTTGCACAACAGCGACACCAACAATATAAAATGAAACGAAAACAATTTTAAATGACGAAAGAGAGAGCGAGAGAGAGGAAGAGCAACAGAGTAAATATATCCCACTGAGTGTGTGGATTATAAAATGTATTTTATAACAGAATGAAATGTTCCAAAACAACTTCTAAGCATTTCCCCTGAAAAAATCGTAGCTACTTTTGGACTGTGACCGAAGGGGCAATTAGGGTGTTTATGTGTGACGACAGAAAATAAATGTGAAAGAAAAATACAATTTTAACAGTGTTTTTAAAGTCTTAGATGTTATTAATTTAATATTTTATACCCTCCACCATACTATGGAGGGTATATTAATTTGTCATTCCGTTTGTAACTCCTCGAAATACTCACGTTAGACCCAACAAAGACGATTTAGCCATTTCTGTCTGTCCATCTGTCTGTCTGTTGTAATCACGCTATCTTTCGAAAAAATTGAGATAAAAGGCTAAAATTTTGCACACATGTATATTTTGCCAGTAGGCAGGTTAAGTTCGTAAATGGGCCATGTAGGTCCAAGTTATCATATAGCCCCCATATAACGGTACCTCCCGATATTCGGTATTTTGATGATTTTAGCGACATTATTCACCCGAATTGTTTCCAATTTGGCATTTGAAGTTCGTAATGGATACTACAGCCTAAGACAGAAAATAATCTGTGTAGGCCCACGTCTTCGTACAGCCCCCATATATTCGGTATTTTGATGATTTTAGCGACATTATTTACCGGAATCGTTTCAAATTTGGTATTTGAAGTTCGTAATAGATACTGCAGCATAAAACAGACAATGGGCCATGTAGGTCTACGTCTTTGTATAGCCCCCATGTACCGTACCCCTGATATTCGGTATTTTGATTATTTTAGCGACATTATTTACCGGGATTGTTTCAAATTTCGCATGTGAAGTTCGTAATGGTTACTTCAGTCCATGCCAGAAAATTGTCTGTGCAGGTCCACGTCTTCGTATAGCCCCCATATAACGGTACCCCCTATATTCGATATTTTGATGATTTTAGCTACATTATAAACAGATTTTTCTTCAAGTTTCGCATTTAAATATTGAAATAACTTATGACAAAAGTTGCCTATGCAGGTTCACGTTGTCGTATAGGCATTCGGTATTTTTAAGATTTTAACAGAATTTTTAACGGATTTTATTTTTTTTTGGAAATTGCCAAATTTGTACCAAATGATGGAGGGTATTAAAAGTTCGGCCCGGCCGAACTTACATCGTTTTTACTTGTTGTAGTTATAAACTTTTTATTTATTATAATTATTAACTAATTAAAGGATATATTTATATATGAGAAGAAATTAAAACATGAGGTCCAAAAGTGCGTCTACAATCAACCCTTTGGATTTTAGTTCCATTGCTTATACGTCAAATAAATCCTCATAACCTCATGGTACAATAAAATCAAGGTATGACGATTTGATATATACGATTTAATTTTTTATTTTCTTGGCTTAATACGTCAACTTTATTTGTTTACGTGTGTATTCTTTTTATACCCTCCCCATAGTATGGAGGGTATATTAAGTTTGTCATTCCGTTTGTAACACCTCGAAAATACATTTTAGACCCCAAAAAGTATACATATTTTTGATCAGCATAAAATTCTATGTCGATTTAGCGATGTCCGTCCGTCTCTCCGTCTGTGGAAATCACCCTAGGTTCCGAACAAAATGAAGTAGGTTGATAAAATTTTACTCAAATGTGTATTATGTCTGCAGACTTATGGCATTGAAAATGGGCTATGTAGGTCCACTTTTTGGTATAGCTCCCCATATAACGGTACCTTCCGATATTCGGTATTTTTATGATTTAAGCAACATTATTCACCGGAATTGTTTCAAATTTAGTATTTTAAGTTCGAAATGGATACTACAGCCTAAGACATAAAATTGTCGGTGTAGGTTCAGGGTTTCGTATAGCCCTCATAGCGGTACCTTCCGATATTTTAGTATAACCCCCATGATGATTTTAGCTATATATAAACAGGATTTTTTTCAAGTTTCGCATTTGAATATTTTAAGAGCTTATGACAAAAATGACCTATGCAGGAAATTTCTGCCATACAACAGATAATAATTTATAATTGGTTTCTTATATACTGAATGCATAATATGGACCCAAAGAGATCCACCCAATTCGCCTTATTCTATTGCAAGTTATTTCAAATCTATCCCTATATATCCCTATATACCTGTCATACGATTTCACACCTCTGCTGAATTTTGTTAAATCGGACCAGATGATTTTGAGCATTTCCCAGGTCGTAACTTGCTCCCCATATTTGATATTAAAGGAGAGAAGATTTTCTCAAAAATGTACTTATTATTAAAAATTCCACAATTTTTTAGCCTGAAAGTTCCTGAACCACATCATCCATAAAAAATAGCTTAAATACATTATTTTGAAATTCCAAAATTCTTGACAACAGTCTGTTAAAGATCGCAATTTTTTCACGATATATCAAATATATTTTGAAAGCAGTTCATGTCTAGTTCTTAAAAGTTGCCAGTTTTTGACCGAGGAGACGTTGACTTTCTTTATTTCCAATTCTTGGCCAGGGATCGGTTGAAAAATATTTTAAAAATATGAAGAAGAACTACACTTTTTGATCAAGAAGTTCTTCAAAAATCGAAAAATGTTGTCTAGAATAAATTTGAACAATTATATTAAGATAAAATCACCCGAATCGTTCCATGAAAATCTGAATTTGACATAATTTTGTAATATGAAATGTTTAGGTCAACACTAACAATTGCTTCTAATTTCGTTTAAAGTCCTGGGATGTGTACTTCAGGAATGTCATGGACTTATTTCAACTTTTATGGTTTTGACATGATTTTCCATTTGCAAACTCGATCTGATATTGACAAAACAAAATTTGAAGAAATTTGCACAGTGATTTCACATTTAATGAGAGTAATTAATATTCGAAATGTTGACTTTTTGTGAGAAGGGTATAAAAAGGAGCGGACTTTTCAAGCCCCTTGCGTTACGAAAAGAAAGCAACACTTTTTAAATTATAGGGCAAAAAGTTGTAAAAATTACAATAAAAGTTGATTCTTCCAGATTCTGGAACACAGAACAATTGTGAAACATATTTCAAAATAAAATTACTTGAATCATACTTGAGTTTAAAATAATTGTCAATAATGGAATAATAATAATGGAAGAGCTACAACTTCATCAGCAAAATGGGACCTCACAAGTGTTTCAAAATTTTCCTATCTCCTTTGGATTTCTTGCCACTAAAAAATCTTGAATTTAACTAAGAAAACATCGTAAGAATGCATACTTTACTGGATCTTAAATTATCATTTCGGGGATTGAAAAACCGGGCCCGACTATTTGATACCCTATACCACTATGCATTTTTAGTAGTAGTAATAAAAGTTTATATTGGACTTATAAGTGTAGTATCATATTAACCAACAATAATCGTGTTTGAATGTTAATTATGGTGTAGATCAAAAACGAAAGGAACTTATATATGTTTCAATAGCGATGTCGTTTATTAGTTTAATCGCCATTTTCATTTGTTAAAACATGACATTGTTAAGCATTAGCCTAAATACATATGTCATTCATTGCATGAGATTATGATGATCTCTTCAACGGCAACTGAACGATATGGCCGGGGATAATGCAGGTTACTTTCCAGATAATTCCCAAAAATCTATACCTGGATATGCCATATCCATCGTTTCCTAATCTCCTACTAGATCGCAACTTGGTATACAGATTATCACACCACACGTACTAACCGTATTCAATATTAATGTTGACATTATTTGTTGACACAAACAAACACTGACTTATGGAGAGGCATTTTACCTGCAAATATTGTAACTTATCTGTGAAAAGGGAAATTTATGTGTTTCACCTGTTTGTCTGTTCGTACAACTTATTTTTGTTTTATTGTTTTTGAAAATAAAAAGTATTGAAAGATTTTGTTGAAATGTAGACTATGGGGGTTATATGATATCGTGGACCTATATAGATAATTTTCTTTTAAGGGATAAAGGAACTCCTTGTGTGGATTTTCAGACAATATCATTGGAAAATGGGGCTAAAATCATGAAAATACCGAATATGGGGAGGGTATACGATATCGTAAACATATGAAGAGAATTCTCGCTCAGAAAATTCCGTTGAAAAAAATACAGAATATTGGGGGTACCGTTATATGGGGGCTATTTGATATCGTGGACCTATATATCTAATTGTCTTTTAAGGGATAAAGTACTCACAAGGAACTCCTTGTGTGGGTTTTCAGACAATTCCATTGGAAAATGTGGCTAAAATCATGAAAATACCGAATATCGGGGGTACCGTTAAATGGGGGCTATACGATATCGTGGACAATTCTCTTTCAGGGGGTAAAGAACTCACAAAGACTCATTGTGTGATTTTCAGACAATTCCATTGAAAAATGTGGTTAAAATCATCAAAATACCGTTATATGGAGGTAATATGATATCGTGGACCTACATAGATAATTCCCTTCCAATGGATAAAGTACTCACAAGGAACACCTTTTGTGAAATTTCAGACAATTGCGTTGAAAAATGTGGCTAAAATCATCAAAATACCGAATATCGGGGGTACCGTTATATGGAAGCAATACGATATGGTAGACCTATATAGATAATTCTCTTCCAACGCATAAATTACTCACAAGGAACTCCTTTCAGACAATTCCGTTGAAAAATGTGGCTAAAATCATCAAAATACCGAATATCGGGGAGTACCGTTATATAGGCGATATACGATATCGTCGACCTATATAGACAATTCTCTTTCAGGAGGTAAAGTACTCTCACGGGACTTCTTGTGAGGAATTTCAGACAATTCCGTTGAAAAATGTAGCTAAAAT